CAATCCAATCATCATGTCTGGGACACCCACAAAAAGATGAGCTTCAAATAAAAAAAAAGGAGAGACACCTAAAATAATCGTACAACCCAGAATAAGGGCAAAGAAAATAATGGTGCATGACGTCCAAGGACTTAAAAAAGAAGAAATAATTTTGGACAAACGAAAAAGTTCATGCCAGCAGCTGTTGGGGAGGTCAATCAAATCTTCCCGTGAAACAATCAAAGATCCTCGACGTCTGTTAACAGCTTAGAAAGAACCAAATATTAAACCTAACAGTACATCTAAAAACACGCTTTAGTAGCTTGTGTCATGACAGGGCTTAGAATAATACGCCAAAAAAAAAAAAAACAACATGTTTTAAAGTCCAAAGAATTCACTTGTGGTTGTTTTTTCTTAGCGAATAAAAGTTTCATTTATCCGTTAGCCGTCTTTTTTCTTTTTTTTTTTTTTTACACGTAGAGCATTTTTTTTTTGTCTCCACAAAGAGAAGTCGTGCCGACCTCGGAGAGAATTAAGAGTCAAATTGGACAAATCAAAAATGGGTTAACATTTGTTACAATTCAATTTGTTATACAAAGATACATTTAAGAGTTTAACTTGACAGCTGGGCTGACCAGGAGTACATTATTTGGGGGTTAAAAAATATCACGTCTACATCATTTAATGGCAGGTAGATCTAGGATTGTAAAATACAATTATTATTATTATTATTATTATTATTATTATTATTAATAATAATTATGTCTTCTGAGTGGTTTGTTTGTCATTTCCCACATTGGTTAGACATCAGGGCGATAAATTGGAACTTCTTTTTGCTTAATTTGAAACACTTCAGGCCCGGCTCAAGAACAAAAAGACTGAAGGCATTTGCACACCGAGTCCGTTTTTCAGATTCAGAACGATAAAAAAAATGTAACGCACACACTCCGAGTCCGCTGCGTTAGTTCTTCTATTCTTTGCGAAAATTGGCAGTATTAAACAAAATGTCTCGTACTCAAACAACGGTGTCTGTCCACGCCTGAAAACAAGGCAAGAGCGAGGACAGTTTCACCCGTCTATAAGGGAGTTTCACCTGTCTATAAGGGAGAGTTTCACCTGTCTATAAAAGAGTTTCACCTGTCTATAAGGGAGAGTTTCACCTGTCTATAAGGGAGAGTTTCACCTGTCTATAAAAGAGTTTCACCTGTCTATAAGGGAGAGTTTCACCGGTCTATAAGGGAGAGTTTCACCTGTCTATAAAAGAGTTTCACCTGTCTATAAGGGAGAGTTTCACCTGTCTATAAAAGAGTTTCACCTGTCTATAAGGGAGAGTTTCACCGGTCTATAAGGGAGAGTTTCACCTGTCTATAAAAGAGTTTCACCTGTCTATAAGGGAGAGTTTCACCGGTCTATAAGGGAGAGTTTCACCTGTCTATAAGGGAGAGTTTCACCTGTCTATAAGGGAGAGTTTCACCTGTCTATAAGGGAGAGTTTCACCGGTCTATAAGGGAGAGTTTCACCTGTCTATAAGGGAGAGTTTCACCTGTCTATAAGGGAGAGTTTCACCGGTCTATAAGGGAGAGTTTCACCTGTCTATAAAAGAGTTTCACCTGTCTATAAGGGAGAGTTTCACCGGTCTATAAGGGAGAGTTTCACCTGTCTATAAGGGAGAGTTTCACCTGTCTATAAGGGAGAGTTTCACCTGTCTATAAGGGAGAGTTTCTGTATTTTTTTTTTTTTAAAAGACAGATGAACATTTCGCAGTCAGTGTGCAAACATGTTTGACATAACATGAGATTCTATTTCTTTTTTTAACGTGCTTCAATTTCGGACATAAAAGTCTACGGACTCTGTGTGCAAAGGTCTTTAGGGCGCAACTGAGATTTAAGGGGGTGCAGTTTTATCGCATCCATTCAATTGAGGGTGCCATGTGTCCTTTTGCCACTTCTTGTAGAACCGGGCTTGAACACTCTCGGATTATTCTTAATCCAGTTTGCTGGGTTTAAACATGTACCGTTTAAATGGGGGGGGAAAAGTATATGGGTAAAGGAAACAATATGGTTGAGCTGTTGAGTTTTTAAGGATCTCACTAACGTGTGTCGTCCTATTTTCCCCTCTGAAATATGAAATTAGAGACAGATCTGAAATGAGCTGATCCACCTATGTAAACACAGTGATTTTCTGATACAGAAAAATACTAAGTGGACAATGTTTATCGATCTTTAACAACAATATCCATCGGCTGAAGACGCCGGCCTGCTTTGATATATTCTCATGTGGGAACATATATATTTTATAACAAAATAAATCTATACTGTGGTTTTCCGTGATGATGGTCTCTTAAGGGGGGGAGGGGTCGTACAATCCCATCATCCCCGTTTCTCTGAGTGCTCTCTGTCCGTCCAAACAAAGACGTTTAGCTCTAAGAAATCTTCGTTCTCGCCGTGACCGAAGCGGCTCAAAGAGTCGAGACGCTCTGCCTGAGAAGAACATTAGTTTGAAGCAAAATAAGTCTAATAAAATACTCATCTCTTCCATCTGTACGCCAGCTATTAAAGTCTTTTAGAATAAAGTGTATGTTGCTATTATCATCATCTTTTAAAAATCAGAAGCAGTTTTTTTGTTTTCACTGTATCGTAGCATTTTGACACCAAATATCCTCTGAGGGGATATTCACACAGGAAAAAGAGACTTTTCAAGCAATAAAACAAGCTTATATCGTGGGTCTGCAACAGAACGAAGACTCCATCCTCAAAGAGGGATGGAGAAAAAGATTGCATAGCAGATCAGAATACAACTCAACAGGAAGTGATCCTTTTTGGTATGGTGCACTTTGATGCATGACGTTTTCACATATGTACACGAGATACGAAGTCCGTTCAGAGTTTTTTCGCACCGCCCCACAGTAAAGATCAAAGTTTACTTCTGCGCTATAATGCTCGACTGAGAGGAGGGCAGGATGAAGACGTCTGCTCCGCCTTTTCTCTTAAAAAGTCCATAGGAGTCTTTTTCAAAAAAACAAAAATTAAACTTTGTTTAAAAAAAGTGCCATTTTGCTACATTTATCAGCCGACACGAGGTCCGCTTTTCAACAGTCAACACAAACAAATGTGTTACACTCCCCCACAGACGTCACACAGTTTCCTGATTCTGAGTTTTGGTCACATGGACAATCACACTCACTCACACACAGACTGACACATACACAGAAACACTTGTGCAGAAACACACACACACTCGCACGCTCGTAGATGACATGATAGGGCAAAAGAAAAAGTGGAAAAAACAGATGTGGCCGATGGGTACGGTTCCATTTGAAGAGTTTATCTTGCTGCGATTAGACATTCCCGGCTGGTAAAGCTTTGAAAAAAAAAAAAAAGAACAAGCACCATTAGGAAAAGGCCTCAGATGTCCTCTGCTGGGGAGAGTTCAGCAGTTTCCGCTTGATTCTGTGCTCCCACGACAAAAGCAAAAGAGAAAGAAATCTACATTCAGACTCGCCGCAGGCTCGTGGTCAGAGCAAAAGTCACTGAAATGTTTCAGGCTCTGTTTCTTTTTTTCCCCATGTCCGAGTTTCGGCAAACAGAGCCTCGTTCATTTTTAAATCATGGAGTCCCAGGGATGTTTTTCATCTCCTACTCCAAATCCCATGAGGCCTTTCTCTCCGTGTCCGTGTGGAAAACATCCGTCCAGGCAGGCGGGGGTAAAGAGAGAGGAGGGGAGGGGGGGGCTAGGGGTCCTCACCGTCTCTGCTGGGTGTAGACCGGGTACGCGAGCGTCACATTCAGAGAGTCATTGTGCTGAACCAAAGACGTGTGCTGGTAGTGAAGGACGAGTTCCTTTAAGGAGCCGTACAGGTTGTACGGCTCGGCGAAGCCATAACCTGAGGGGGTCTTGTTGATGACGCAGTGCTTCACCTCGCCGTCCACGCTGCAAAAGACAGAACAAAACAGGCGGTCACAGAGTGTTCTGAGTGTAACGGCAGTAAACTGTGTTCTCTCTGTACAGACTCATTCATTCCAGACTAAACTGATCTCCATTACACTTCAGAAGAAGAGGTTCAACAGGGGCAGCGCTTTCAGATTATCATCATTTAACTCCACGACAAATCAATCCTTATTAAATAAAGTCTGAACAACACGCCGACATCTTCTAGCCGGCACTTAAAATAGAAACACAAACTCGTCATTCAGCGCATTAATGTCGAAGAGGAGCCGCTCTTTAAAAACGACTTATCGACTATTATCAAAACAGCTGCCAAACAGTTTTCTTTAGACGAGTCAATCGATTTACTTTAACAGCTCTATCTAAAAGCAAATAAAAGTCACATATTTCAATTTTCTTTTTATGCAAATCAGTGCTTTTTAATGTGCAAAATAAAGCGTTCTGAGTATATATAGAATGTATAGAATAAAGTATCTGAGGCTAATTGAAAACAGGGCTGCACAATTGCATCGTTTTTGCGATATGAGCATTTGCAGAAGTCTGAATTTATCCCAAGGCTTTCTCACTCAAACTTTAAGGCTCAGTATCCATTTGGTTTTTCAAACTCTTGACTTGTTACCTTCACATAGATTTTTGTTTACATTAAATGTAGGAGATCTAAATGAGCAGGAGGCACGATTCAAGCTGGCAAAACCTGCTCCTCCAAAGATCATGTGGGCCAGCTGACAACCCGTTAACGACGTCTCCTCTAACGGAGCAGGTTTTGAAATGAGAGCACGTGCTGATACGTACACAACGCTGCAGGCGTAGCATCCTGCTTTGCTGCTGTCTCGGACCAGGAATGTTCCGTCTCTCTTGCCCTGGAGGAGAGCCTCCGCCTGCAGTCGGTTGATGTTGCCCAGCTTCCAGGAGCGCTCGTCATGATGAGGCAGGTCTTCGTCGTCTTCCACCATAGAATATTGACTGGAGAGAAGAGAAGAAGGTTAGCATAGGTTAGCACGGGTTAGCTCTGAGGTTCAGAAGATGTTCTGGTCTCTTTGGTGCCGTTTACATTAAATAAATAAAAAAATGGAGGACTCACTCTTCTGTGTTCTCGTTCTTGATTCCGAGCCACTCGTTGAGCTTCTTCTGTCTCACTCCCTTCTGGGTCAACCACCTGACAAAGAGAGAAACCACAAGGACGTCAGAAACCAGGACAGACCCACTTTCATTCCCTCCGGAGGGAGAATTTTGAAGTTTCTCGATGCACTACTTCACTCACATGAGATACTGGTCTCTGGTCTTGCGGAGCTGGATGAGGTCGGGCTTGATGCTGTTCATCCTCTTGTCGATCTCTCTGTAGTCTGCAGCCTGTTTCTTCAGATCCTCCTCCAGCCGTCGTTTGCTGTCCACGATCTCGCTTATCCTGGATTTCAACTTCTCGTAGTTTCCCACGATCCTGAAAGCATTAAGGCAAGAAGATTTTATACCATAATTCTAATATCATCTTTTTTTTCTAACTTCCTAAAACATGAAACGTTTAAATCCTGTTGTCTCGTCTTACCTCTGGATCTCCTTGTCGTTGCCCTCTCTCCTGAACTTCTCGATGTACTCCTTGCTGTACCGCTCTTGTGTTTGGCATTGCTCCTCGAATATCTTTATGGTTTCGTTAAAAGCTTCTATCGCCGTCCTTTTCATTTGGATTTCCTGCAGGGAGAGGCAGAGCATTGAGTTTATCTCGTACTGCAGTGAACTCTGGGAATCGTAGTTCTGACGCTGGCTTGTACTCACTTGTGACGTTCTGGTGTATTCTTCGTACAGGCGATCGTACTCTTTGTTTTTCTCCTGGTACTGCTGGTGGTACTCACACAGCTTCCTCCCCACAGCTTCGATGTTGTCTTCTTTCACCACTTGATCCTGAGGACACAATCATGAAAAGACAAAGTAAATATGATTGCATCATAAACAAACGCGTGGTTAAGTGTGAGTGGAGAGGACTCTGCTGCTGACCTGCTGGTGTTTGGAGACGGGATAGAGCAGCTTGACGTCGAGCTTGGGGTTGTATTGAGCCAGCGACTCGTTGCGGTAGTGGTTGATGAGCTCGACGACGGAGCCGAAGGTCAGAGGGTCCGAGAAGCCGTACTTCCCGTCCCGGTGGAATATCTTAATGAGCTTGTTGTTTCCTCCTTTCCTGTAAACGAACCAAACCAGAAGGGGGGGAACGATTAAAACCAAACCGCAGAAGACATTAGCAGGAGGAAAGTGACTTCAGAGCGAAAAAAGGGGGAGTGGCCTCACCTCAGAGTCAGAGTGTAGTCACCGTGCATCTTTGTCGAGGCGTCCCGCACCAGAAACGTACCGTCGGCGGTGTCCCTCAGCTTCTCGTTGACCTCCTCCCTCGAGATGTCCCCCCAGTACCACTCGGCGTCTTGCAGAGCCATGTTGTTGTTCATGCCGTTGTTAGTCACGGAGGCGGGCTTGGGTGGCTTTGGAGGTAGAGCTGCGAGGACGAGAGGAGCGTCGACAGAATGTTAAAACAACACGCTCGCAGCTTCAACTAAACGCTGATGATGATTCTCCGTCTCAGTGGCACGTCTCTCTGAGCTGCACTCAAAACAGACATCAGCACTTCTGTAAGGCTGCAGAGAAAAAAACACCTGGATGCCAAATGTGAGACCCATTATGTTCGATTTATGAGGTAATAAAAGCATTTCACAGATTCAGGGGATTACACCCACTCTGTGACTCTCACACGTCTTTTTTTTTCACCCATTGATTAGAAAATAGCAGCACGTCTTTGATGGGGGAGGGGGGGGTGAGGGCAGTGGGAGGAGAAATGAAGCATGAGTCAGGGAGAATGAATTTCATTCAGGAAAAGGAGAAATCTATAAATATTCCTCTCTGCAAAAATACAGCAGGAATGTTGAATTTTAGAAGGTAAAAATTTCCCTTTGCACATTTTACAAATTAAAAAAAGGACAGAATGAGAATCATAAAGCAAACACCCAGATGGACTCTAATTCCCCTTCAGGGGTTTTGCCTCCAGCTTTCAAATTAGATAACCAGCTGACAACAAATTACAAATCAAGCCTGTGATGCTGTCATGTAATGAGGTTGAGATTTGCATTTTGTTCACGTAAAGGAGGCAGCATTTCAACCCTGATTTAACTGATTTACAGAAAATCTTGAACCTGCAGTGGCTGCAGACACTGGCTGAAGCAGAGCTAAGGTAGCAGCTATTTTTAAACCCACAAATCTGCACCGCCTTTGTTCACTCCCTCTGCATTAGCACCCCTTCTGCTACAATAGACCGAGTGAGACTACGGCTCGATGAGACCAGAGTCAGCAGCAGCAGATCTGTAGACTGTTGTGACATAGCAGAAAAATGCAGAGGTTTACAATCTGTGCACAAAATGCAGCCTTCCACCTCAGCAACACGAGCACAAGGCTTCCTCTGCACCGTCTCAGCAACGGCTGCCTTCCAGCCTGAATCGCATTTCATCCTAGGATTACTACAAATGTCTTAATTCTTAAAGCCTGTAGTGCCTTCACAATAGCTCCACAGAACGACAGCTTGCCATGAATAGTCTTATTCTC